CCCACAGGTTGGAATCCCCCCCGCCAGCCGCTGGACCCGGACGCCTACCTCGTGGCTCGCACCGACCTCGGCCGCCCATGCAGAGCGGAGTCGACCGAGCCTCTCCTCGCTGCCATAACGCCCTCCACAGCAGCGCAGACGCCCACGATCACCACCACGCACGCCCACAATCCGGCCTATTCGCCCACAAGTGAAAATCTCCCGCCGGCGCCCTTACATTACTCCACCCTCGCCTCACGCCCAGACGAGGAGGACGCCCACACGCTGGTACGTCCAAGAGGGCTGCTGGGGGTGGGATTCCCTCTTGATTGCTATGTCAGAGGAATTGCCTCTTGATATGCACTTCAAGTCTTGAATTCGATGCAATATGAACGTAAAATAAATCTAATTTGGGGTATCATTTCCTCTTTTAACTTTAAGATTTGGGTTTCCTCCAGCATCAAGTTAAATCAATCTAATTCAAGTGGATGTCTACGCTTGACTTCCACTTTGAGACTACTTATATATTAAGAAAAAGATAGCTTATTGTCCCTGTTTCTTGCTAGTTCATTATGTCATAGCCTACCATATATTAAGAGAAAATACGCTTACATTAGTGTATATTTTGGAATATAGTATATATTTACACATTTTGTTATTGGAAAATCTGCATATATAAAATACATGCAAAACAATGTGATATCAGACTTTCAATAGTTTTGATTTTTGTTTTCAAAGGAAACGTGTACATGTTCAGGGTAGACTTCTATATCTGAACGGTACACGTCACATTACATGTTTCAATAGTTCTGTTTAGGAAACTGAACTTTTTGACATATTTATTTCCTTTTTTTACATTGTTCTCTCGTTCGAAATTATAAAGTCATCTTTATCAAACTTCATGTGTGTGTGTGTGTGTGAGAGAGAGTGTGTGTGTTTGTGTGTGTGTGTGTGTGTGTGTGTGTGTGTGTGTGTGTGTGTGTGTGTGTGTGTGTGTGTGTGTGTGTGTGTGTGTGTGTGTGTGTGTGTGTGTGTGTGTGCGCGCACATAATATAGAAAGATAAATAACTGGTTCACAAGTAAATGAACGGACTGAATGAATTATAGATATATGAAAAAAAATCATGACTTTACGACCGCTATTTGTAGTTGTTAATTATATTTTCGGTAGTTTTTTTTCACTTTGATCAATATCCAACTCGAGATGAATGTTTACTTATCATGAGATAATAACGTAAATTTGTAAAAGATTCAGTTCCTAAAACTACAGCCTGTATAGCCTTTTAAAGAAAACGTGTCAATTTTTAGGGCAAACTTGCGTAATCTTCTGTATACATTTCCCTGTGGCATCCCGCAGGAATGTTGCCGCAGCGAGGAGGACTCGGACAGCGGCCGCGCCACCGGGGACTCCGGGTACGCCACCACAGAGGAGGGGGGGCGCAGCCGCTGGAGGGGGGGCGAGCATCAGCTGACGCCGGGGGCCAACGGGGGAAGCGCCGGCCGGCCTCTCTCGCACCACCACGGAGGGTCGTCCTACGGCGGGTCGTCCCCCCGGGGGTCGTCCTACTCCCCCCTCCCCCGCCACGACCCTGAGTACCAAGAGGAGGAGGAGGAGGAGCAGGACACCTCCGAGGACCTCGAGGAGAGGCAGGAGCTCCTAGCTGAGGACCTCATAGGAGGCGGTGGGCACCTCTCGCCCATACCCAGTCCAGAGCCCACCGCCGCACACACCGCCCAGAGTGCCGCCCGCACCGCCGCCCACGCCTCGAAGGGCTCGCAGCACCACACCACGCCCATCATTGTGTGAGCAGGCGAGAGGACACAGACAGTGCTCCTCCCCCCACGCCCACAGCAAGGTCTGCCTTGCAGCGCGGCCTCTGGAAGCCTCTGAGCTTTGTCGCTTCCGCCAGAGTTGGAGGCCTTCGTGAAGTGTGGACAGGCTGCCGCCAAGCCTCGAGAGACCCGTTTGTCTTAATTCTGTAAGTACTTCTCTCAGTGCTTGAAAAGTCCCCTCGCACGTAGATATGGATGTCTGTTCATACGCAAACGCGTGAACTTTCTTATACAAGGAACTCTGATCACTATGTCCAGTACTTAAGAGGTGATTTTCCTGTGTTCTAAAAGAAAAGAAAATAACTCTAGTGTTGCTCATCCCATCACGCAACACTTTAATCTGTTTATGGGTATTTTTCTAGTGAACCGCAAAGCCAACCAACCAGCCAATGGAACTGCATCATAAAAAAAGACGGGTTACAGAAAAATCTGCATTTTGATTAGCGTTAGTTGACTTATTCTCTCAAACAATGGAATCATCAAAACGTCATCCTTTGTGAAGAAATAGAGAGAAAAGAAATAAATATAAGAAACGTGCATTTTCTTGGAAACGTGAAAGATGTCCATGAATTTTGTGAGAAAAAAATAAATCTACTTATATTTACTACAGCGTTTAAGATTCTCGAAGGGCATTTATGAAGACAAACTTAGACCTCTGATCTTCAGTTGGAAAAGCAAGTTGCAGGTT